CACGCAGATGAGGGACACACCCTGAGGCTTGAAGTTTTCTTGTTCTGTCTCTGTTTCTGAATGACTCTTTTTCTTTCTCTGAACAACCGAACAAACTAACAAACTGAACCATGGCTGTATGCTTTAAATAGTTTTAAGCAACACACAGTCTGACGTGAAACTCGTATGTGGATCATTCTATGGGAAGAAAGGAATGGTTAACTTTGTAAAAACCTTAAACTTTTAGAATAAAAGACAAAAGCATACAATTATCAGCATACAATCATTAAAATATAGAAATCAAAAGAACAACTTCTTATGTAACTTTTTGAGCAGTACTGAGAGTTAGGAGGATTAACAAAGTCTTTGGTGATAGTTGATTTGTCAAGCATCTATAGACATTGTTCAAAAGACAGCATGTTTTAAGACAATGGACGTTCTGGTGTCTGAGTGTTCCTGAGGAGGAATCAGATAATGGAGGTTGTCTTTTGCATTTCTGTGTTTCATTACCTTGTAAATGAAACTTACTGTCTAAGGTCAGAGGTGTGATGGCAGAGCCTGGTCTATGCATTGGGGGTGGTTTGCATTTAGCAGTCTCCCTGCTGGTCCTCAATGCCTAGAATCAAAGTCTAATGTGTTGGTTAGGAATATTAGGAATTAGGATTAGAAATAGTCCCACAGAATAAAATATCACTTCTAAAATGTCTACTTTGGACTTGTGGACACTGCATTTAAAAAAAACCAAAGGCCATGTTTTTTAAGACATTTTGACACAAGCTAATATCAATATTAATAACATTACTAACTGCTCTGTGAACAAACCAAATCACATCTGGTCCACCTGCATGTGCTCCTAGATCCACTAAGACAATCTCTGAATAGGTGACTGCTGTTTTTAAGCATCTCAGTCTTCTGTGTATGTGCATATTGTCTGTCAGTATAATTCAGTGTCAGCCCATTCATGGATGGATGGAGTCATTTCATACCTTTGTAATATAAAAATATTCATTAGAGCAGCATAATATTATCAGTTACACCTGCATAATTTGTAATGTCAGGAAAAGAGTCTGTTTCTCAAAATGTGAAGAATTCAAATATGGCTGGTTGTGCTTTGTATTATAACAGCATTATTAGTATCTTGTTTTGTTTTTCTTTTATGTTTTTTTTTCTTGATGGTGCTCTCTGAAGTTGAACTACAGGTGATAATGAACACTGAAATACAAGTGGAAGAATCTGTGAATACTGACCCCTACACAAAGAGAAACTGCAAACAAGCTTAGTGAGTCTCCACCAGCTCACATCGTACATTGCAATTAATGTTATTTCATATTTATAATGTCAGTGGGGTGCATGCCAGTGCCTTCTGGCATTTACATATGGGAATATAAACGTGAAATTAAATGTAAATCAGCTTGGAGGGGATTGGAAGCTACTCTCTGGGATTCAGTGAGTGATTAAATTCACACAATCACGAATGAGAAGACAGGCAGAAACGGTGCAGGTCAGGGGGCCTAGACATCAACACATAGCCTACATCGCCCACAAATGTGCATATCCCTTTCAGCAAATGCTATAATTTTCACATGAACCTTGTGGGCTAGTCATCACTGTGCCTCAGATACATGTTATACACGCAGAGCAGCCTATACTTCGGCATGACTGGACTTGAACCGTTTACTGTATGCAGTGTTATGGTGGTACAGTGTGTGCATGTGTGTGCTGTGGTATGTAAAGTAGGGGTGTGAACCTTCCACTTTCTCATTAGCTGGAAATCTGAGCAATTACATGGATATAAAATGTTTGATTGTTTCTGTTAGATGATTAGCTGGATGTGATGCTTGATCTATTGTAGCAGAACGGAATGTCACACTGATCTGTGATTTAAATATGTTGCTTGTGATCGCATCATAATACTGCACACAGTGGTGCTGTATCATTTTTCCGATTTGAATTTGTATAATTTTTTGACAACAGCAAAGGGAGTTTTCAGTCCTTTTATTCATTCAGCAACCCTGTGTCAACCTAGCAACTGTGTGCTCAGGCCACTGCTGAAGTGCCTTAACCTGCACTCTCTCTCTTGCCATTGTATTTCTGGCTACAAATAAACTTTAACAGCAAATACACAATAAATGTTTCTTGGCTCAAACAGTTGGTCGCTTTTGTTTTTTCCCAACGTATGTCTTACCAGCAATTTTGGGAGTCATTTTTGGAGGCAGTTTTAAGGTTTATACGTTGTTGTCATATCACATTAATCATCATTATCAGTTTCTGATATGTGTACAACGTTCATGTTATCACCCAAATCATAACTACAACTGGGAAAGTCAGATTTTTCTAAAACTTCTGACATATCCAGCTTGGCACTAGACATTAGAGTACATCATGTGAGAGCCATGAAAATTCTGTGCCAATACGTCAAGCAGATGTTGAAATAATGGTGTCAAAATCCATGACATTCAATACAAGGGTTTATGAGATATTTCACTACAAGCAAAGTATGTCAACCTAATAATAACACTAGAGGCAAAGTCAGTAGGATTCATCTTCCTATTATGATATACAGATATTTCAGTCTGAAAAATGGAACAGTGGAACAAGCAGCAGATAGACTGACATTGCCATTCACAGAGCCATACTGCTCTAGGCATGCCTGAAGATCCCGACGATATAGGGAATTCTTTGTCGAGTACTATAAAGTGCCAGATGGGAATGCAAAAAAAAACTTTCGGACTTCAATCAAGTCATGCATAACGGTAGATAGTGTTACCATTTAGCTGAAAGCACCATGTTGCATCCTTACACAGCTGCTAGCATGACTATAGGCCACTGAGAGCAGCTGTTTATTAAATAACCAATATATTGGTCAGTCACCCCTTAGCGTGATGGTTACAGTTGGCTGACATGTATAACCCAGTGACAAATGAAAGGAAAAAACAACCCGAAGGATCACAGTAAGGTGTTGGGCTATGATGCACCACCAGAACAGCTCCAGTGCACCTTGTCATTGATGCTACAAGTCTCTGAACTCTACTGGAAGGACGAGCAAGTCTCTGAACTCTACTGGAGGGACGAGTGCCGTTCTTCCAAAAGATGTGCCATCATTTGGTGTTTTGATGATGGTGGTGAGACGCTGTCTGATGGGTGACTCCAAAATCCCCGATAGCTGTTCAACTGGGTTGCGGTCTGGTGACTGTTAAGGACACAGTATATGGGTTATATCATTTTCATACTCATCAGACCCCCCTGTGGACTGGGGCACTGTCATTATCTCGGCTCCAGTTGGTCCAAAATGCAGCTGCTCGTCTTCTGACTAATACACGGCGTCATGAGCATATAACCCCAGTTCTTGCCATTGGCTTCTTGTTCGTTTTAGGATTGATTTTAAATTGTTCTTTGTTTATAAGGCTGTGCATGGTCTAGCACCTTTGTATATTTCTGATCTTGTACATTTTTATGCTCCAGAGAGGACACTTAGGTCAGTTGTTCCTGGGTGTATCTAAGTCCAGACTAAAACATTGAGGAGACTGAGCTTTTGCGGTACGGGCTTCTGTTCTTCAGTCTACTGCAGGATATTAGATCTGCTCCTAACCTGATGATTTTTCAATCACTCCTTAAAACTCACTTGTATTCGCACACCTTTAGCAATATCTCTGACTGATGTATTTGTTTTTGATTGTGCATTTTTATTATTATTATTCTATTGTGTACTTTATGCTCCAGAGAGGACACTTAGGTCAGTTGTTCCTGGGTGTATCTAAGTCCAGACTAAAACATTGAGGAGACTGAGCTTTTGCGGTACGGGCTTCTGTTCTTCAGTCTACTGCAGGATATTAGATCTGCTCCTAACCTGATGATTTTTCAATCACTCCTTAAAACTCACTTGTATTCGCACACCTTTAGCAATATCTCTGACTGATGTATTTGTTTTTGATTGTGCATTTTTATTATTATTATTCTATTGTGTACGTGTGATTTATCTGGTTTCATTTTTTTCTTTGTTTTACTGTAAAGCACCTTGTAACTTAGGTTTAGAAAGGTGCTATATAAATCAATTTTGCTTGCTTGTTTGCTGGAAGAGACCTTGTATTGATTTGTCACTCCTATGTAGATATCAGTCTACTATGTGATTTTGTATTTAATTCTGCAGTTTCCCATAAGCCATGAATCTGGTACAGTCCTACTTTGTGTTTGATTATACTGTTAGCTTTGTGACCCAAGCTTGTTTCAATAATACCATGTTTGATCTTGCAGCACAGCAATATGAAACCTGGGTGTCAAAGCATCTAGTATTCTTAGCACATGCAATCAGCTTTGTCAATCCTAGAGGTGCATCAGCAGCACTGTCCTGTGTGTAGGCATGACTTCAGATTAAAAAAGACCCCTAGGTTAACATGACATAGGAGATGTGTATGTGCATGTGTTGCCATAATAGAGGTCAGTTAAGGTCAAGTTTTGTTAATACGCAACACTCACAGACACACACATACACACCAAGTTGTCATACTACTTGTTAGTGTACCAAAACCGCACTAAGACTTGTCCTTGTGCTTACAAATTTTTCAGCACCACAACGGCAGATCTTTTGCCATCTCTTTGTGACTTAATTTGTTTATACAAAGGATGTTTCTGTATTTGGTCCTGATGTAGACAACTGCTGGCCTTGGAGAGACATCTCTGCAAGAAACGTTTATGCCATCAATATGTCCCAATTACTGTGGCAGTAATGCAGAAAGCAAAAGCATGTGGACTGAATAACAAAGATAGAAAATAAACTAGAGCAAAATTCAATCAAAGTTTTTGATGACTGGATGCATCTCTGAATACCCGTAAAACTTTTTCATTCCTTAACACTGCAGAGCATCTGTCTGCAATAGTTTTTTTTCTTTCTTCTCCTGTTCTACATTCACTCTCAAAGCTGTAAAGTATACAGTACTATAACTCATCTAAAATTTTGTTGTACCATGAATTATGCATGTATTTATAATAGTGAATGATGTGTCTTTCTTTCTCTTTGTCCACAGCACAAAAACCCCCAAGCGGGCTGTATTTGCAGGGAGCATGCAGCTGCTGGCTGGCATCAAGCTGTGCACAGGCAGAGTTCTCACCAACCACCCCCATTATGAAGATAAAGACCTGCGGGAGAGGACCAGACAGGTAGTGTGGGCTGTACTCTACTGTCAAACATACACAGGTATGAGGAAACTACACAGGGGGCAGCAAGATAGCCCAAACTATTGTATTCTGTACTTCTATTTGAAGTAAATAGGTAGTAATTACAGTGTCCGGTATACAGTACATGCTGTTGAATGCAAATTAGCAACGCGTATTAGCTTAAAAGTTAAAAGGGTTCATAATCATCAATACTAGAGTTTTCAAACAGAACTGACAGATCTCTGGAGTCATTACTGAGGGTTTTGACAGAATTCAAGGCAAACGTTAGGAGGTGTGATTGCATCTAGAGTCAGTGTCGAAACACAATTAGATGTGAATTCTGGGTCGACAGGAATTATCTGCACAAGTTGAAAATTTTTCAACCTGAATGGAAAAATTCAAACGTATTCCAGGGCTTTATGAGCTTGGGATATACGCATTCAGAAATGACAAAAAAAATCTTAGTACATACTGTAGGACATGAGGTGCACTAAAAATGCAAAAGTACAAATCAAATAAAAAATATTCCCAGAGGTCACTAATGTGGATTTTTGTAAATATTGTCACGTGGATGTGTGTACAAGTGGTCATTTTCCTGGTAAGTTTGCTTTAATAAGTTATTTGATGATATAAAATGGGGTATATTTAGTTGATTTGACAGCTTTGATTGGCAGCCCAATGCTGTCATTCCACTTCTGGTCAGTACTGCACAGAATCTGGTTGCAAAAAAGCAGAATAGCAGCCACCATAGCCAGGATATTTTGGCTTCAATTTTGCATAGTGGAGGGAAGTGGTGACACCATGTCCATTGTATATAAGTTACTGGTCTGAGCACAGCTGGCATTAACCAGAAAATATAGCCTAACAACATTTGATATAATCATGAGCACTAGATAGTACTGAAAACCGTTTGATGCCAGCTGTCCATCTAAATTGACTGTTCACTAAACCCCTGTTTTGATTAGCAGTTGTATATCTTAGCAGCTGTAACTAGCCATTGTCATTCATGTAGCCTTGTGAGGAGAGACAGCAAATTATTGAGCAATGGAGTGGCATGTCTGTCTTTTGTCCTCAAGCATTTGATGGACAAGTCTCCCAGCTGGCGACTGATGTGCTGCAGTTGCGACGGCCAAAGTTGCCAGGATTTTAACTTTTTCTTATGTTTTCTGCCTCAACCTGGATTTTCTTGTCTGTGTTCTGGTATTTCCATTGACTGCCTCTAAATAAGATAAGAGTTTATGCTGTAAAATACAATTGAACAGTAACATTCATAACTTTCTGTAGTTTGTGTCATGTTAAGGTCATCAGCCGATGCCTCATTATATTCACATGAACATGTTCATTCTTCTGTTTAGTAAAACATATTCAGTTGAGTGTATATAATTCACATAATTTGCACCACAGTATTTAAAATACTATAATACTATGGAGTAAAAAAAAGTGAACTGCAAACTGAAAAGCTGGAATATTATATCAAAGCTCCTCTGCCATATGTGCTACAGTATAACAGTATTTAAGTATATTCATTGGTTTTTTTCCTCTGGGTGTCATTTTATTGTTTTTTGCAACTTTTAGATATTAGTTTGGCACTGGAATCAGAGTCGGAACACGTTCGTCTTTTTCCAGACCTCACTGTTGCTCTAATGACAGCCTCTTTGCTACACTGATCTGATCTGTATGGCGTGACTGCAGCTGCAGCCACATTGCCTCTCCCATCCATCTCACTTCACTCTTGCATAAGAGACCAGGGAATTGTCTGTAGATGGGGGCCAGTGACCTGCAGTGATTGTGGGAATGAATATGGGATCAGAAGATGCACTGAGTACAACGTGCACCCAATAAGTCAAACTGAACAGTAATGCAGGACAAACGCAACCTAAAATGGCTGCGTTCTGGTCAAAGGAGTGATGAATGGCGGCGTCCATCTTAGTAATGTGTGTGAGAAATGCTGCAGAAGAGCATTGTTTTTTGTTTCTGTTCATGTGGATGCAAAGGGTTTTCACTGCCAATAATGTGGGAATTGGGTTTTTCCTCTCTTTGGCCTTCATTGCCTGTTATTACACCTCCAGCTGTTGGCTGGAGATGTAATAACTCATATTCTCTCATATTGACTGCATTATAACATTGTGAAATACAGCACATGACATTCAAAACACTGCTCACAAAAATATATCTAGGTTAAACATAGTGTAGACACAATCGCAACTGATGAAAAATACACTAGCAAATTAGATGTACTATTATTCATTTGGTTCTGCTTCTAGATTATGTGTGTCTTCTTCTCAAAGAATAGGAAGTCATGTGTGTGGGTCATCTCCTGTGTAGCTCAGCCCATGTTTTGCCTCTCAGCGGGAAGTCAGCCATGGCGAGCTGCTGGCGAGGCCTAAGCTTAGTGTGGAGCTCATTAATGACCCACAACACTAGTGCAGCCCTTCTGGGCTCTGACTCTGTGTCTGTGTGTGTGGGGTCCTCAGGATGAATACTGTGGAACTGCATTTTCATACATTTTTAAGAAGCTTAATGATGTTTCCAGCTTTTTTTTCCAGGCTTAATTTCTGTGCAACTACAAAATAGTTCATTAGTGGACAAAGAGCATAGCTGTTCTTATCTCCTGTATGCATTTGCTTTTCTCCTTTCTTAATTAAATCACATACCCAGCAGGCATACATCCTGATTTTCAAACCAACCATAGAAAAGTGTACACTGTAGCAGAAATATAGCCTTTCTCCATAAAGCTATGTGCATAGGATTCCCCTGAACAGAAAGGGTTGACTGTTATAGAGTATGGATTTCTAGGGGGGTTGGTGTTATCGTACAAAATTTTACTCACAAATCTCAAAAGACCAAAATGTTACACTTGGTCCCTTTTAAGCCCTCAAATTGTGCTCATGCAAGCTGACAACGCTTTGCTATCTTCTTGTAGCCTTCTCCTGCATTGTGGGCATCAATAACTTTCATTTTCAGGGTCTTACACAGCTGCTTAGAGGAACCCATGGTTGCTGGGTGTCCACAAGTGTGTGCACAAGGTTTGAAGAGTCAAGGTATTTGTACAGCTTTGAAATTGGCATTTACCAATGACAGCTGTTGCTGTGCATCAGATCTAATGAGCTGATTAAGGTCTGAAACCTTGTGAGAGACTTTGAGACTCTGGAACTCTTAGGGTGCCCAAACTTTTGCACCATGCCATAATAATGTTTTTATTTTTTATTTTTGTTCAATTTATGGCATAAGAAGTAACTATGCATCACTGTTTGCAGAAAATATTGTGCATTTTTTCCATTTCCAAGAGAAACTGTGTTAACATCTGTTCAAATAAAAAATCACCAAAATCTGTTATTTATCAAGGGGTGCCTAAACTTTTGCATAAGACTGTATATGTGAAGACTCCAAATGAACCTCTGGAACCAAACTGAGACCCCCTCAGGAGGTTTGCTTGTCTGTCGTCTCTGTACTTTATGACTTCCCTGTCTTGTGTGTGATCCTCAGCTTTAAGTCCATTTGTTCCCACCAATGATGCAAAAAGGGTTTAAAAAAAGTTATAGATTTTATAAAATGAAAAGACGGTGATAGTTACCCTCAGTCACCCTCGTAACACCCTGGAAATCAAGATTACACAAAGCAGTGAATCACCACTGACAGGTGCAGCGTTGCACGTCTTTCACTTTAACACACAACTGGGGCTTCATCAGCAAACAGTCGTTTACATGCTATGGACACTTTTTGGTTTTATTGTGGGAATATTTGAGGGCACTATATACGTAGCTTAGATGTCTCACTCAGAATTTAGATTAGATTAGATTTGGTCAAATAAAATGGTGAGTAAATCCATGGAGTGATTTCAGTCACAGTTAAACGTTGACTTGGTGTAAAAGCTTACAAGAATAATTAATACAATCTCATTCTTTACTTAAATGGAATTTCATTTCAAGACTTTTGTTAGGCGGAGGTAAAAATAAAAACAGCAACAACATTTTTGTTCTTGCTGCTTACACAGTTTACACAGTTTGTCCATTTAACTTTGTTGTTGTGTGAAGTACAGTATGTTAAAATGTTTGTTTCATCTGCTCCAAATTAGATGAACCAGAACAGATCTCACAAAGCTCCTTGTGATTTTCTTTCACTCCTAATTGTTTTCATATTTTTTCAATGAAACCAACTTATATCAAAACTGTAATTCAGAAAATACATGTGCCTGGTAATTATGTTCCAGGAGAGAACTTTTCTCCTAACAATATCAGGGTTAAAGTATAAAGCCAGGTGATCTTTAGGCAATAAGAGCAATCAAAAATCCACACAAACCTAAATAAATCCTCTCATATTCTGTGTGTGTGAGAGCAGGTGTATCAGGTGTACGCTCGCCGGTCCCCAGAGGAAGTCCGTGACATCTTGAGGGCCGTCGGTGCCGACTATGTAGTGCTGGAAAACAGCATCTGTTATGAGCGGAGGCACAGACGAGGCTGCAGACTGCGGGACTTGCTCGACCTGGCCAACGGACATGTGGGTGGCATTTATTTAACCTGACTCTTTGTGACTAAGCGTGTGAGACTGTGACACACTCTGCCAGCTTGTGTAACTGTGCGAAAGCTCTCAGCCTCCTCAAAGATCAATAGTCTTGCTTCTCATCTGCACATCACTGTCTCTCACTCTCTTGCTGTTGCTTATTTTGATGTCGGATGCAGCGCGCTGGCTGTTTGGATTACCAGAGGCGAGACGAGCTTCAGTCTGGTTGTCTGACTCAGTGTAGTGTAAGACACATGAAACACAGAGCCAGTGTGCGTCTGTGTTTGTGATAGCGTACATGTCGCACAGCATATACAATATCTGACATCTGGACAGCTTTATTGAAGGAATGCTGGGTTTAGATCTGTCTGTTCTTTCTTACTTTCTTTTCTTTCTGTCTCTTTGCATGTTTCTGTCTGCTTTTATCTTTTCCTCTCTTTGTCGTCATGCTGTTCTTCTTTTCTTTCCTACCTTCGTTTACCTTTACTTTCCATTCACCTTGTACTTTTTTCATCTCCCTTTCTTTCTAACAACTGTAACAAAGCCTTCTTTTTAAAACCATAAAAGTTGGTTATTTTCAATTTGCAAGCTATGTAGATTATATACAAGATGTGGTTCTGATGTAGAGAATAGCAATCAGCAAAAGCAGATAAAGATTAAGACCATGTACAGTATCTGAACTCATCGGAAGGACATCATAGGATACTTAATTTTTAGAACTACACAAATTGGAGGGGGTCCAACTACTTCACATAAAGACATAGAAAATTAGATGGCCTTTTTCTAAAGTACATATGTTATGTTTCTTTTAATGGTTCTTTGGTTGAGTCAGTGGTTGTGTAGAGAAATGTAATGACCCAAACAGCTTCTGATTTGTGAAATTAAAAGCAAAGGCCAGGTGCCGCTTTTAAAGCCCCAGAAAACTTGGTGCCAAATTTTAGGAATTTCTGTAGTTCAGAAAATATTAATGACAAAATAACCAACAGTAAGTTGAAGTTTGGAAGAAACTATCTTTAGGTTTTATTTATTACTTTAAACTCAGCTAAACTGCTGCATCAGGGCTGTGTGGGTGTGGTTTGGTCAGATTTGATTGACAGTGTCCTGGAAACATAAGTAAACCACCCCTATGATTGGTGCACGTGTAAAAGATCAATATGACCTTTGATTTGATTGAAGTTAATTTGACTTTGTTGTAATTATTGCTAATTTCTTTTAGGCTCACTATTTCTAAGAAAACCAGTCAATCAATCCAGCATCTCTATGTGTAGTTGAAGTTAAATCTTATTTATCGAGAATTGAATTGACTGATTGATTTTCTATTAGATCCAGCAGGTAGAAGCGCTAAGTGAAATGTGCTGATGATGTCTTCAATAATATTTAGCAGCTTTAAGAACACACATAAGTGTTGATGTTCTGTCATTCGTGGTGCAGTTGCTGATGACATGCTTATTTTCTGTACTATCAGATCATGGATGGACCTGGAGAAAACGACCCAGACCTCATCCCTGCCTCCCACCCTCGATTTTGTGAGGCCATCAAGACAGACACAGCGCCTTACACTGCTCTGTTCACCAGAACATTCCAGAACAAAACATTCCACGTGTATCGGGTTAAGAAGAAACGCAAGAAAAGCACCAAGAGCTCACCAGAACACAGTGCCACACAGTAGCAGGAGCAGGGCTGCAAGAAAAACCCTGTCAGGGGCCAGAAGGGGTAAGAGTCAGAGGAGAAGAGGCGATAGAAGCGCTGAGTCCTCACTGTTCATCTGTCTCCTCTCTGCTCTGTACCCAGCTGTCATCATGCTCACTATTTTTTAACACATGGCTCTGTGAACTGTGGTTTGGGTGCAGTGAGCCAGTCCACACTTAGGGCTGCATTATTTTAGTAAACGGAGTACAGAAGCACATATAGGAGTCCTGCTTTGGGCTGTCATATCCCCACCTGTCTACACACCTTCCACCAGACCCTCACTGGTGCAGATGAACAGACACAGAAGCAACTTATGAGACCTCGAAGCAGGATCTGCAACGCCACAAGCAACTAGCCACTACAATTTAGTTTCTTTCATATGAAGTAGTCACTGTCATTTACACACAGCATCATCAAATGACCACAACATTGTCAACGTATAAATAATTAGAATTAGGGCTGGACCCAAATAGATGACTATTCGGATATTCATTCGTTGGGTAGGTTTTCAATTTTAGTTTTCAAATATTCGAGACAGCAAGAAATTTCAGTGCAGTCTCTTTCTGAATTTGTGAGGCGTGTTCTGTTGCCATCCCAACTCACAGAAGTGCCAGGGCCAACCACAATATTGTTAGCAAAGTTCTGTTTTAACATAACAGCTCTTGCTAACGAACGTTAACTCTGTGACTTAAAATGATGACGGGACAAAATGAAACTCAGTGCTATTGGGCTTGTGACCTCTCTGCTGGAGAAACAGACAACATATGGACCGCTGGTAGCCGAAAATGGTTTCTGAGGTATAGAAGCATTGCTCTGTAACACCACTGAATAATTAGAGTGAACTGAGGGCCTCTCTGTCGTTCCAAAAACTCCAACAGAGTGAGACATCTTAACAGGTAAAACTATCAGCTGGTCTCACATCAGTGATGGAAAGGTAGCACATTGGTGTACACACAAGTGGTCATAAAGATCCATCGTTGGTCATCGAAAGGTAGCACATTGGTGTACACACAAATGGTCATAAAGATCCTTCTTTGGTCATCTTTTCCATTATATTTCATAAGACTACTCGATGGACTAGTTGGTAAACAGTAGTCAGACATGTTAGCACTAGTTAGTAACAACAGCTTTCTGAGCATCTTACTATTTTCTCTGTGCGTTGTTGGCATTTCGTTCTTGGGATTGTGCTGTTAGGTGTTTTTGAGGAGGAGACAAAGCTTTCCAACCTAACAAGCATGCTAACTCATTTTTAGCTCAGCTGCGAACTGAACAGTTCACTCAGTTTATTCAAAAGGTGTATTTGACTCCCATCTCATACCTTCCTCTGAACTTTCTCCTTATGTGGAGCATGTAGTACTTTGGCAGAGGAGATGGAATAAAAGTATATGCTGCCTAATAAGCTATGATAGTCTCATTCATTTTGGACTCTGTGGCTGTCCATTCCCCCAAAGTATCCCCGAACTCCCCCAACTCAAGGTCTACTCATTGGGTTTCCTGAAGCCTTCACAGCCTTCAAAAAGTGCTTTGGATGAAACATAACCGTGAAATCAACCCCCATCCATCAATGAGGACCTTGTAAGATGTTGAAAGGTCCAGCAAGTGGATTTTGACTTGGGCTCAGGCTCACAAACTGTTTCTATAGTCACAAATACACTTTAATGTGTTATTCCAAACTAGTATTTTCCAATGTCATGTTTTTAAAGCACATTACCTGTCTAAAACTTGACTGTGTGGTAGTATCCAGTTTGTACTTGAGATGGTGTTTATCAGGGCAGTTAGAGTAGTAGAAAAGTTAGAGGGTGGGGCTGCACTTAGCTTTGATATATGTGTGTCAAGCTTGGAACATTAGTTTGTCTCAGTCTGGACTTGGATCAGTCACTTCTTGGTGAGGAACTTTTGACTCCACAGTGATAAATATTATCAATTCCTCCTGAAAAGAACAACTGTAATAGTCTTGTTATTTTTGATTTCCACCCAGGTGGAAACGGGCACCACCTGTGCTTGAATGTGTTTTTGCTGTAAAACTAAGGTCAAAGCTGGTGCCAAGTGATATTTGTGACAGTGTTGTTGTGATTGCTGTCGTGTTTTTCTTTCTGTTGGCTCTGTGATTCTCATCAGCAGCAGCCCCAGCCTTTTCACTCTCTGTTCTCTATCTCTCTCACATACGCACACACACTGAGACAAACACACATGAATAATGTAAGCGGTGAGGAAATTGTACCAGGCTGACAACGACGCTGATTCCCTGCTGCAATCCAAAATAGTTTGAGAGAGAGCGAGGGCCAACACTTGCATATCAAACTGTGGCTTTGTCGTTAGGAAAGAAAGTAGCGAGGTGGAGTGGGGAGGACAGAAAAGGCTCATGTTTAAACAGAAGCAGGAGAGATGAGAGTGCATCAAAACATGGATTCACAATGATCTGAACCCCTTCCTCATTTTCTTTTTTCTCTTTTGAACCAAAGGGAGAGCAGAAGAGAGGGAAGGAGGTAATTGAAAGGCAGGAGTTTTGTCATAATTATCAGCTGACCAGACAGTCGCCTGCTACAATGAGCCGTTGTGTCGGTGCGGCACACACAAACACATGTTTTTCCCTCCCCCCTCATCTCGCTCTGCCTATATTTGTACATTTGCTAATAAGCACCTCTGTGTTTGATAATCCACACTCTCCCAGATGCACGGACACTATTTCATGCAGTTGTTGTGCGGCTTTTGAGACCTTTTGTTTGTTAACTGTGTGGCCTCGTGGTAATGCATACCAATCGGATCAGCGTGGAACAGCACCACTTGTTCTTCCCCCACCTGCCTTCATTTTGGATGTTTAATTTAGGAAATGTCTGATTGCTTTATCTGAGAGCAAAGTGATTCCACTATGTTTGCCTAATAAGAGCGACTAATGTAAAAAATATTTTTTCAGCATTGATCATTTCCATACATATTGGGATTAGTAGTTCATCCGGAGGCATGCTGCCTGCCTGTGGCTTTCATAATGAAGAGGAGATGAAGAAAGCCATTAACTTATGTGCACATAGAATTCAGCTGAACACTCCATTTAGGCTCATTACTGAAGAACAAGTGGATGCTGCAGAAACAATGTGGCCACTTTAGAGAGAGAGAGAGATTTCCTCTGCCATAAACCAGGCTAAAGACCACATTCACTCTACCCTCTCTATTTGTTCCAAATAAATCAACCAATTTCTTACTACAAAATTCTATGATAACAATAACTACCTTTTCAGTCTTTGTATCTTACACCACATAAATATGTGGACACTCTGTTATTACACCCCCCACTGATAAAACAATCTCAACTCAAGGTCAGTTTGCACTTACTTGTGCTATCTATCTTTATTTCTTTCTACTATGGTTTTAGATCTTTTTTCAACTGCCTTAACACCTTTCATGAAACTAGGTGTCATTTTTTTTCAAGTCTACACACAAATCCAAAAATTGTGTACACAAAATGCTAAATGTCACATATTGTATCTCCAGTAACATTGCACACTGCATTCAAAATACCATAAACATCCCAAAATCAAGTATTTGCAACAAGTGGCAAACATGTTTTTCACAGCAGTCCATTTTTGGATCTTTTATACAATGTTGTTCTCAATCTTAAACTCTTAAATCATCCATCAGCTTATATCTACGTTGCTATATAATGCTCTAAAGTGAAAATGTTACTGTACCTCAAGGAAACTAAACCATGTGAGAGCTCTACATAAACCTTAACCATATGCTACCAGTGTTATCACCGGTGTTGCATTTCTCTTCTGAGTTGCATCTGGCCACAATACTTTGTCCACTACTCTTCCTCTTTGAACCCGCGCCGGCCTCTCTCCCACTCCCGTCGCTCTCCTTGCAATGTTCATATCCATTGTTCTAAACAGGTAGTTTGACCTTTGGCCTATTTATTGGCATGGCTTTATGGATGGCAGTGATTGATTAGTGATCGGTTAAAGCTACACCACGTAACTTAAGGTAGCACTAGCATAAAACTCCAAAATCAACCCACTCTGCTCTCCTACGATCTGCTACACTCCCCCACACTCTGCCCAGCTCTTCAGATATTTGTCATCATGAAGTTAAATTAATGCAACTAAACTTGATCAGTCAGAAATAATTTAAAAATTCGCTCGCATTTTGATTGGTTGTGTGTGAAAAAGGCTTCATGTTTGATTTTTGTGGAGAATTGTGTGTAGTGTCTTGCAAAAACATGTTTTAGAACTTTTAAAACAGAAAAAGAATTTGCTTATAGTTTTGCGAACTTGGGGCTCTGATTTTTTTCCTGATATGACTGAATGGACTTACACTGAGGTGGGAGGAGAGGCACAGTTGAGCCATGTGTATACTAATGAGGCAGCCCAGCGTAATGTTGGTGCTCGTTTCAACCTGAAATGGCCATAACAATAACACAAGCAAGAGATCAGGTACACATGTATTTTAATGGTCACAACTGATCTGCTAAATAAGTTCTTGTGTATCATGAAATGTGTGGTAATGTAGAAGGATTATTTTTAAATAAGACTAATAAAATAGTCCCCAGTATGTGGCTATATGAATATGGTCAAGCTGTTGGTCTGTGTCAGGATGCACCAGGATTGCAGCCCGAGGGGATCTCGGCGTTTGGAGATCCAAATCTATATTAAAAAATTGCATGTAATAAAAGCAGCTCATGAGTCAAGTCAAAATTAATAATAAACACCCAACAGACCTGCCAATTAATCCTGTCACACAGCAGGTAAAGTCAGTCCATCCTAACTGTGGCTGCTGTCACTGACAAATTACCGTTTCTTCCAGTGAACAAGTTCCACACAGACATACCTTTGTTTCCACTGGGGATATACGTTGTGTCTGATTTGGCATTTTATGGCAGTTTGATCAACTTTGAAAGCAGCTGTAGGTGGAGATAAAGTGGGCGACACATCCACTGGCTGTGCGTTCTGGTGGACCACAATCAGAATCAGACTCAGCTTTACTGGCCAAGTGTGTTGGACACACGAGGAATTAGACTCTGGTACAGTGGCTCTCAATACACATGTACAATGCTCTTTTGTAAAACAAAGAGTAGACAAGTAAACAAGATCAAGTACTTACAAATATAGAAATACATATACACAGTTTACATGCAGTTGCACAGAGGCTTGTTGTTCTGTTATATCATGGGAAGAAACTGTCCTTGTACCTGGTTGTCTTGGTGCACAGTGACCTGTAACGCTGTCCAGAGGGGAGGAGTTCAAACAGATTGTGTCCAGGGTGTGAGGGGTCAGCAGTGATAAGTCTGTACTTGTCTGGTTTGGTTGCTGAGCCAAACCAGACAGTGATGGAGGTGCAGAGAACAGACTCGATGATTCCTCTGTAGAACGTATTGGGACTCCACTGCAGATACAGTGCTGTTGATTATGCTGTCATCTCCACTGTTGTGAGCATGTTCAGGTTGTTGCAACCACACCACAGGACTGTTCAGAGCTGTTCAACCTCCCGTCTGTAGGCTGATTTATCACCGTCTTGAATGAGACGAATGACCGTTGTGTCATCTGTGAATTTCAGGAGTCTAACAGAGGGGGCCTCTGAGGCGCAATCATTGGTGTGGAGGGAAAACAGCAGGGAGAGAGCACACCTCCCTGGGGGGCCCACGTGTTGATAGTTTGGGTGCTGGAGGTGGTTATCCAGGCCCAATGAGCTGGGTCAGTTTATAGTGGAGGATGTCTGGGATGATGGTGTTGAATGC